CTGTTTGACACCCCTCCTGATGACCACCTGAAATTCATTACCATAATTATCAATACTAGTTGACTCGGCAAAATGGACCAATCAAACAGGTAAGCTTGCAGGGCTTCTTTCTCTCTTGTGATTCAGTTACATTATAAAAATATACAATTTTTCTTTGTTCTGTGGAACACTTCTGGGCTTTGCCTAGGTGTGTTTCCAGTGTGTAAACTCTAAGACCCATGAATAAATTTTTGTCATTTATTTTTAACCAAAGCCTCCAGATTCTTTTTGATTATGTTTGACAGGAGGCAGCCCTTTCCCTCTCTCCATGAGGAGTCATAGTGACCCAATTCCTTGGTGTCTGTGCCACATAGACGGGGCCTGCAAACTGTGGATGAGACCTGAATCCACATGGGGTCTCAGTCTGCAGCAGTTGGCAGATGATTAGGTCATGAGGGCATTAATAAATCCTATTTATTAATCTCATAAATGGGATTAGTGACTTTATAAAAGAGACCCCATGTGAAGCTACAGCAAAAGACAGCCATTTATGAACCAGGAAATGGGTCTTCACCAGAGCCCAACCACGCTGGCACCTTGATCAAAGACTTCCCAGCCTCCAGAACTGTGAGAAATAAAAATCTGTTGTATATAAGACATCTGGCCTATGGTATTCTGTTATAGCATCCTAAATGGACTAAGACAGTCCCCAGTGATCTGTCCTCCTAGTATTTACAGCCTTATAGTCCCTTTCACACTGCATAAAGGTTGATCTGTGTGACCAACAGTATATGGCAGAAGCAATGGGTATGTCACTTCCAAAATCAGGTTATAAAAGACACTGCGGCTTCTATCTTGGTCGCTCTCCTTAACTCTTATATCACTTGCTCTGGCTGTGAGTTGCCATATCGTGAGCAACCCCATGGAAACGCCTGCATGGTGAGGAACCGAAGCCTCCTGCTATGAGCCACATGAGTGAGCTCTGCAAGCAGATGCTTCCATCCGGTCGAGCTTTCAAATGACCATTGCCACAGCTGGCATCTTGACTGCACCCTCACAAAAGATCCTAAGCCAGAACCACCCATCTATGCTGCCTGGATTCCAGCCCCTCAGAAACTGTAAGAGAATACGTATTTCCTGTTTTAAATTGACAAGTTTGGGGGTAATTTGTTATAATCAATAGATAAATAATACAGTAATCATCTCAAATTTCTACACATTTGACTCTAAAGCCTGTATAGCCTAATGCATTTCCCATTAATATTTTAGCACAGAATAGCAAAAGAGGATTAAGTGGCTTCAATTGGAAACTGGAGACTCTTCTCGACGCCGTTTTGATATTGAAGGTTTATAATAATCATAATAGCTTCGCAAGGAAGCAATTCACACACTGCTACCTCACATTTCCTTATCATTTAATAGAGCCACAGAACTGTAACATGCATTCCTTTTATCCTGGACTTTCCCATAGTAGATATGTAGGAGCTAAGTATTTATCAGCTGACTTATTGACCAAGTATCAAGATATTCAGTAAAACAAAGATCTTTCCTAATTGCTGCCATCAGCACCATCTGTCTCCAGAACCCTTTTCACTTCATAAAACTGAAACACTATACCCATTAAACAACTCTCCATTCGCCCCTTCCCCCAGCCCCTGGCAACCACCAATCTGCTTTCTGTCTCTACAATTTTTTTTGGTCTCTATGATTTTGACTTCTCTAAGTACTTCATATAAATGGAAACACAAAGTAAATAGAATTCCTGGACCCATTTCTGACATTGCGGGGTGGTCCCGCACACCAATAAGCAATTCTCAGAATTGAATTCAAAGAATTCAACTCAATTCTGACACTCTCTACCTGGGGATAACATTGGATTCCACGGGTTGAAGGGTCAGTTCGACAAGACTCCTTCCCTCCCAACACACACTTCAGACACCAGACACAAGCCCAAACCTGTGCTTCTGGCCAACTGGCCACAGGTTGGAGTTCCAACGACCCCTCCTTGGGTTTAATTAATTTGCTAGAATGGCTCATAGAAGTCAGGAAAACCCATTTACTCACTAGATTAATGATTTATGACAAAAGATATTAAAGGATACACATCAACAGCCAAATGAAAAGATATACAGGGCAAGGTCCCGAACAAAGGAGCTTCTGTCCTCATAGAGCTTGGGGCCTGGCACTGTGGCACATGCAAGCATTCCGGCTCCCCAACAGGGAAGTTCTCCCAACACCCCTCCTTTTGGGTTTTTATAAAGGCTTCAGCACATAAGCATAATTGATTAAATCATTGCCCATTGGTGATTGAACTCAATCTCTAGCCTCTCCCATCCCAGGAAGTTAGGGGTGGAACTAGATGTTTCAACCCTCAAATCATTTTGTTGGCTCCCCTGGCAACCAGTCCCTACCCTTAGGTGCTCTCCAAAAGTCACCTCATTAACATTACAAAAGATACCTTTATCACTCTCAATACTTGGGAAATTCCAAGGGTTTCTGGAGGTGTGAGCCAGAAATTGTGGCCGAAGACCAATATATATGAGAAATATATATATTTGGTCATCTGAAAGACCAATTATATATTTCTTATAAATCACAATATCGCACACAGTATTTGTCTTTTTGTGACTAGCTTATACCACTTAGCATAATGTCTTCAAGTTTCATGCATGCTATAGCATATGTCAAAATGTCATTTTTTAAGGCTGAATAATATTTAATTGCATATATATGTCACATTTTGTTTATCCATTCATCTATCGATGAGCAGTTGGATTGCTTCCACCTCTTGGCTATTGTGAATAGTGCTTTTATGAACATGGGCGTCCAAATACCTCTTCAAGGCTCCGCTTTGAGTTCTTTTGGGTATACATCCAGAAGTGGAATTGGTGAATCACATGGTAATTCTATTTTTAAATTTTGGAGTAACTGCCATACTGTTTTTCTCAGCAGCGGTACCATTTTACATTCCCCACAATGCACAAGGGTTCCATTTTCTCCACATCCTCACCAATACTTGTTATTTTATTTTTCATTTTCGTTTATAGCAGCCATCTGATGAGTGTGAGGTGGTCACTCATTTTTATTTCCTTTTTATAGATGACAGAACTGAAGCACCAAAGAGTTAAATGAGGGCTTACGATCATTAAATGTCAGAGCAGGGGTTTGAACTCAAGTAACCTGACCCCCTATTAACCAATAAATTGAAAGTCTTGTGAGGTACAAGTTCCAAAAACTCAAGAAGAAGATAGAGGGGTTCAAGGGCTAACACCCACCACTAAAGGGCAAAATGATTAGCAGCAAGTTAAATTCATCTCTGTCCTGATGTTCTCCCCAGCCCTATAAGGCTGAACTTGCCAGGAAATTGCAAAATGTTCTGAAGGTGGAACTCTTTCTTTCTCCTTAAATAAACTCTGTCTGAAATGTTCATGAGGGACTTATACTGGAGCTTTCTTATGCCCTAGTTTCTGTGTTGTCTGGTCAGGCAACCTAAAACCAAAAAGTTCTCCTATACATCTTGGTCATCTTTTTAGTCACTCCGGGACTCGAAAAGCCCTCTTAACTGAAAAGGGATGCTGGCCAACTACCAAAATGCTCTTGTGTCACAATTTATATCTAGATTAAAGGAGTCAGCAAGAGCTGGTCTCAGAGGAATTCCTTCCTCCAGAGCAGAAATGATGTGTGAGGTTTAAAAACCTGGGCTGTAGTATCTGACAGACTTTAGTCATTTTAACATAAAGTAACTCAACATTTCTTGACAGTCTCATGTACAAATCAAGGATGACAGACCTGGAGCTGACGCACAGGAAGCACCTAACACTCAGAAGATACTCAATAAATGCTTGGTAGTATTATTACTTCAGTCACAGATCCATAAACAACAAAAAAGTGCATGATGAACATTTACTATTAAGCAAACATCGATTGTTAAGAATGTATGTTCAAAATCTAGAAAAGATGCAAAACGGATTAACGGCCACAGAAAAGGCTGCATACATCAATATAAGGTTAGCTTTTAATGTAAATGTGCAAATCTATTGTGCTGGATCAGGCATCAGGTGAGATCCTACTGGGAGGGATTTAGTGTTTTGAGATGTAGCACACTCATTTCTTAAATACAGATTATTCAACAGTAGTAAAAACTTGCACATGTTTAGTGCTTTTCTTATGTTTAATTACGTCAATTATAAAAGAAAAAAAAAAATATCCCTGGGATTTGTGTGTATAAAGCCGCAATTCGGGATAGTTGTTATGGCTTGAAAGCTAGCCCAACCTATGAAGACTCGCCCTTCTAGTCCCAGCAACAGCTAGCTGGGCCTCAGTCCCTGCCTAAGTGTATTCATTCACAACTTCTCAGGATCCGCTGGGCTGGTGGCTTTTCTCCCGGGAGCTGCCGGCACCAAAGCGCTACCACGGGTGCTAGGGACGCAGCTGTTCTCCGCCACGCCCCTGCCTCGCTGAGCCAGTAGGATACGTCACCAGGCCCCGCCCCGCTCCGCCGGAGCCCCGTCCCCCAAAGTGTGGCCTGCATCTCCCATGAGCCTCTTTGGCTGCCACTCTTCGGAAGGGAAGTGGGGTATGCGCTGAGGCGGCAGTTAAAGTACGAATAGCCGTGGGCAGCAGCCTTTGGGTCCTGGTGGGAGGCGGGACTTCCGCTCCCTCGGGTTTACGTCATCAGGAGGCGGAAGCGCAGTGGGGGCGGGAAGGTTGTAGAGCCGCACGCTGGGCTGGGTTTGCCGGTCTTTAAGTGGTCGCGCCCCCTTGGAGAGGGCGATCCGACGGCAGGGTGGTCCCGGGCGCTCTCGCGTCCCCGGTAAGTAGGACTGTTCGGCGGCGCCGGGGGATGGAGGTGTGTGGCTCCGGCGCTGACCTGCTGCGGTTGTCTTTGTTGCCACTGGGCAGTGGTCTCCCCGCTTCGCTCGCCTCCCGAAGTTTCTCACTCCTGTCTTCCGTCTCGGCCGCAGCCCTGGTCCAGCCTGCCCTCCACGCCCGCCTCCTCTGATAGGCAGGTCCAGCCCTGTCACATTCCTGATTGACGTTCCCTTTCACAATATGTGGCCCTCTTGTTCCTCCCGTCTTAACCCAGCTTCGCCACAGGAGACACCTAAACCACAGCCGCAAGAGACACCTAAACCATATTTTGTTGAAAACCGACATATATTTGTTAGCCCTTGTACTTTCCCGGGCTCCCCTGAAGGCATCCCTAATCACGCCAATAGAAACAGTTCCTCTCTGCTTTCAGAGCAGTGTTTACGCCTCTTAAAGAGCGCGTTTGTTAAAGTTTCTTTAGAATGATTGCTTGAATGAGACTGTATTTTCCCACCGTATTATGTTCCTTGAGGGCAGAAGTAGGATCCTGCTCATTTGGGATCTCCCCTCGTTTTCCTTTTAAGTTTGCAGTGTACACAATTGTTGCCGGGTACGTTTTTTTGAGTGAATCGAGAGACAACACTGTGATCGTACTGATGTTATCAACTGCTTGATACATTTGGTAGTATTTGATAAACACAACCTAATGATATATTAAAGACAGTAATGCTAAATGTTGGTATCGACATTTGCAAGAATAAACATTTCACCTTTATACTCTAAATGCTTGAGGCGCTTGTAGAGTTTAAGTTTGTGATTTCAGTCTGTGTGCTTTTCAGATGTATGTTTCTAGAGCGGTGGAGAAACTGCAGACTTTTCATTTTAGGGAGGCTAGCTGTTCCTGACAACTTTTAATTATTAAAATATGGTACATTTTATATGCGTGTATACACATGTTTTTTACAGGTGATTGTAAAGTGCTGACCAACTGCCACTGAACATAGTTGAAACAGAAAATACGAAGATGGCAGCAAACTCTTCAGGACAAGGTAATGCATACTAGAATTTTATTACTAGAAACTTTTCCCCCCATATAGTAAATGTATTTTAATAGAAAATTTGGCATAGGACAGTTACTGTAGCCAGAATAAAAAATGAATAGCAAAGTAAAACCCTATATTTGAAGCAAGTCCAACATTGTATCAGATATTTAACATCCTCAATAGCTATTAATCCTATATTTTATTCTGCGTTAGATTATTTACATTGTAAACCTTAGGTCCTCTGCTAACATCTGTGTTCTCATTTGCTTGAAATCTGAACCACTTTTAAAGAAGTTATGTTATCACTGGGCAGTATCCATACCTTTATCTTCATGTGCTCTGAAAACTTTCACATTTCACCTGTGTTAAGAGCTCTCTAAAGCAAGTTGAGTTAGACACATCTTAAAGAAGTTTTTACTTAAAAATAGGTTTTAAAAAGTAAAATTTAATATCTAGAAAGTATTAAATCCCACTTTGTAAGTAGTTTCCGGCTTCGAAACTTGAAGCAAACTTATATTTCCTTTCTATATCAAGTCTAAACTATTTGACCTACCATATTTTTTTTTATTACTCTGTTCTGATTTTTTAAAATCTCAGTTTTGTTTTATCTTAAACATATAAGTGGAATCATAAAGTGTGCACATGTTTGTGTCCAGCTTCTTTCACTCACTACTGTCTATGAGATTGATCCATTGTGTGCCATGTATCAATAGTTTATCCCTTTTTATTGTGAAGTAGTATTCCATTGTATGAATTTACCACAATTTGTTATTCATTCTCCTGTTTGGAGGCTTTGGGGTTGTTGGCTCAGTTTTGGCCATTGTGAATAAAGCTGCTTTGAATATTTGCTTGCAAGCCTTTTTGTAGATATTTGGATAAAGATCTAGGAATGGAGCAGCTACGAGTGTATAGTTAACTTTACGAAAAACTGCCAAACCTTTTCCTAAGTGTTTGTACCATTTATGTTATCTCCAGAAATGTGAGAATTCTGCTTGCTCCACATATAGCACTGGCTGTTGGTCTTTTTTATTATAGACATTTTAGAGGGTGTGAAATAACATCTGTCTTTAGTATTCACTTGCATTTCCTTGGTGACAAATGTTGAGCACTTTTTAATGTATTTATCGGCCATTGTAAATCTTCCTTTGTTAATTCGAATCTTTTGCTCATTTTTTAAAAACCGGGTTTTTTTAATTATCAAGGTATTTTTTTTAGAGTTTGGATACAGGTCCTTTGTCACTGCTAATTGCATCATCTAGATCATCTTGGAGCTGGTTTCAGTTGACCACATGTTATTATTTTTTTTAGTATGGGCCACATTTCCTTTTTTTTTCTTACTAAATGATTTGTTATTGGATACTGGATATTCTGACTAATACATTGGAGAGACTCTAGATTCTGTTGTGTTCCTCTGAAGTGTGATTTTTGTTCTAGCAGATGGCTTGGCTCAACTCATACTGTAGGCTCTTATCTCCCTTCTGTTGGGCAGCAGCTGAAATCTGCCCATTCTTGTCAGCTTCCAGCTGCTGCTCTATTGCTGGGCACCGTGGGGTCTCCCCAAGTCTGTGTAGTTTAGCAGGATGCAAAACCTTCGAGTGGATTTTATAAATGTGTTTTGGGCTTTTCTCCCTCTGCCTTTCCCTCTTAGGTCTCTCCCCCCAATTTTTTGGCTACTCTGCCAGCCCTGAATTCTGTGTTGTGATACCTCAAGCCAGTTAGGTGAGGTTTTCCAAGCTGTTTATGGATTGGAGAGTGCTTCAGGCAAAAGGTCACAGATTCCCAAATCTCACCAGTTGTAGTTTCTGCCTGATTTTGGTCAGTCTCTAATACCTTCAAATAATGAATGTTTAATATTTTGTCCAGAATTTATAATTATATTTGCAGCAGCGTTAATCTAACCAAACTACTCTGCCAGTACTGGAAGTTGGAAGCCTGCTGAATCTATTTTAGTATATTAGCTGCATTTAGGACAAACTAAAGGTTACGTGAGTTTTATAGAAGTGTAGTATTAAAAGCTAGCTGTGGTAACAGCTGTACCAGCTGTAACCAGCTAGTACTGTTCTGTTCTCTGAACCATGTGCGATTTGTGTGCTCTGTGGATTAATCACAGGTCAACATTCCTCTATGGTCTTCTTTACTCCGAGTTATAAGGACTCAGATTAAAAATAATTTAAATTAAACAAAAATGAAAACTAAGAGAGGTCTATTTTGGAAAGAAAATATGCTGCTAAAAATCACACAATGCATTCCAAATGAAAATAAAATGTTAATTATCCCTCTGTTCTAATAGCACAGATAATTGAGATTTACAATTTGCTGATTACTTTTTTTTTTTGCAGTTGCAATAAAACGCAGCCATTTTTAGTGTTGCCTTTGATTGATCCATAGTGAAATCCACTATGAAACAGTCAAAGCCACTTTGGTGTTTGTTATTCTTTTGTCAGAGATTTTATTGGTGTTATGGAGCTGCTGCCACTAGCCACCAGCAGAGGGAGTCCATATCATGTTCTATAGATTCTCAGACTCAATGAAATTTTAAAAGTCTTGTTTATTTGGATCTGTTGCATTTTACTCTCTATATTAAATTATTTCTGTACTGTTTATTTATATAGGAACTACTTATGATGAAGACTGACTGTCAAGTGCCATAATTATCTTACAATGATAACTGAAAGAACAATGACTTTATAAGAAAAATCTTAATTGCTGATATAGGGGACAGAATCCCATTGTATTCACTAAGCCCTCTTTCAGATCTAGCAGTCTGTCATACCGTAGTATTAACTGGACTGCTAAATTTCATAAGCTCTTGGCAGACAGTTACTAAAATGTCATATTCTTCTTAGCATCCCTTGTAGTGTGGAACATTTATTATTTGATTGATTAGAAGTAACATTTTGAGAATTTTAATGTGTAAAGGCAGATTTTTAAACTGGAATTTGTACAGGGTATCATTCCTATGTAAAGAATCTTTCGTTATTGGTAATATCAAGGTCCTGGGATCATGTGGTAGTAGCTGAATTGGTCTAATCTAACCTGACTTCAGATACACAGAGAAACCTGATGAAATACTGAGTAAGAACATGAATTCTTTTCTTTGGTTATTTTATAGTTATCTCAAAATGCTTATAGTAATAACTATAAGCCCTGCAGATCAGGTAGTGGGAACTATTGATTTGGGGTCGCTCTGGATGCTGTCAGCTGAGATTTCAGAGTGCTGTTAGGAATGGGGTAGCATAGCTCCTGGCAGGTAGTCCTGCTTGACCTCAGACCCAAGTAGAAGGCTTTCCTAAACCGTCTATGGTCCAGAAGGAACGCAGATTTGCCCTTCAGGCTTGTACTAAGGTATGCTATGTCTGAATTAAGAGTTTGTCCCAGTGATTTATAACTTGCTTTTTCTGGAACTTTTGGCTTAGCTACAGTTTCCTGTGTCTGCCCCTTTCTCCTGTACCTAAACAAAAAAGTACACAGCTATACTTTACAAACAGACTTAAGAGAAACAAGACACTAAAATGTTAACACTAACCTAATTATTAACGTAATAACTTATTTTTACCCCCCCTTTTTTTTTTAACAATTATCTTTTTGTGTACTTTAACTTTCCTTTTTGTATCTTATTATGAATTCATGGCTTATCACAGATTCAACTTGTTCCATTTAGCTATAATTATTATTCTCTTTAATGTTCCAACTGTGATAGCCTGGCTAATCTCAAACTGGCTTCTTTGTTCTTCGAGCACTGTTCTGGACCTTTTTTAAAAAAAAAAATCTTCTTGCTTTCTGCCAACAAGATAATCCAGGCCCAGCCTGACTATTTTCAAGCCCTAGGATGTGGAACCAGTACTCTCCTAGAACTGGTTCCTTTTCACGGAAGATACTAAGACTAAAATTTGTTTCACATGGAGTTGATGATAAGGTGGAAGGCATTGTTGCTTGCCATTGTAGTGACAGAACAGGGAAACATGTTTCTTTTAAGAGCATATTTTAACTTTAACATTACTACATCTTTTTATATCTTATGTTTCTTCATTATAAGGTTTCGTTGACTACTAACATTGTCTATTACATTAACATGCATCTTTCTTCATGAAGCTTCCTCTGCCAGGAAGGATTCCAACCACCCACCCTTTTGACAGTTTGGCAAACTTAGTAAAATGAAGAGGAAATAGAATAATTTTATATCACTTATTTCCTCATTCTCATGCCACCTAACTCCCATGTGCTTTGGAAACAAATATTTTCATGAGATTGTAATTTTTAATATTACTGAACAGATTCTGGATCTTTAAAAGTAATTTAAGTTTATATACATTGAAAAGCTCCATTGTACTTGGATGTATATGAACATTATTGATCAAATTACCTTTGTGTAGTCTTTTTAATGCTTTGCCTATTACTGGCTATGTGTGTACAATTTCTATGTACATACAATTACTTTAATACAGTAACCCTAAATTTTTTTTGGTAAATTAATATAGAGGGAATTTGATACTTCTGTAAACAACACTTTAGTACTTTCCAGTGTGCTGACTTATTTTGCTGATTACATAATTTGGAACACTATCAGATTTTTTAATTTGCTTTTCAAGAAATTTCTATTTTATATTTATAATATCTCTAAATCTCCAAAAAGAAAGACCTACATAAATCTTCTAGGAATGCATTAGCCTCTTATGAGAAAAGGAAAAACGTCTCATCCTATAGTTGAAAATGTAGCTAGTGGTGTAACTTGCCTTAAACATAGGGAACTTCGTATATACAAATAGGAGAGTACCAATTTCCCTCGGAAAGAATTCTTCACTTTCCAAAGAACTCACTTTCGGGTTCCTTTAAATAACATGTTCCAGTATATACTTATCCTTCCATAATTACCTTAATTTGTATTATATCACTTTTAGGGAAATTTCTGTTGTATAAAATTAGTAATACCCACATTCTATACTTCCCACCTGATCCATTGTCAGATCATTTATACCGATTTATTTTTTTGGATAAAAAGCCAACCATGAGATGGTAAATAGAATGAGAATAACATAGCCTTCCTTAGTGGGCTAAGAACATTGACAGTCAAAGAAATTATATTAATTTAGAAATTATATATTAATTTAGAGCCCACAGTTACTAATTTTCACACTTAATTTCTATAGTAAGGTAGTTAACTATAGCTACCTGTGCTCTGATTGTTAAACATGCATGAATTTTTTTAAGGAGGCTGTTCCTTCTTGACTAAGGCGAGAAAGATATATATGACTAAAAAAAAGTTGGCGGATCATATGAAATTGTTGTTTTTGTAGGTAGAAAATTGTCAAATATAGGCAATTTAATAATAATATATAAAAGTTCCCTTCTAGTGGTTATTATGTTTACATAACATTCCTAATAGTAGAAATATGAGTTGATATGTATGGTTTGTGCTGGTCATCCTTATTAGAGAGGTCTCTAAATTTTATAAGAAATTATTTTTGTGGAAAATATTTTTTTATTGCCTTTATTTATGTAGCACCTAAGTTTTAAGCCCCCTTGGTAGATTGCCTTGATAAAATGGAAGGGAAATTGCTCATCAGTTGCTTTCGTAGCAACTGAAGTAAAGGTCTAAAGCTGTGCTTTGCAAACTACAGTGGTCCCCTCCTGCCCCTTGGCGATATGTTCCAAGACCCCCTGGATGCCCGAGACCATAGATAGTCCTGAACATTATGTACAGTATGTTTTTCCTATACATATATAATACCCATGATAAAGTTAAATTTTTAAGTTAGGCATAGTAAGAGATTAACAACAATAACTAATAATGAAATAGAACAGTTATAACAATGTACTGTAATAAAAGTTATGTGAATGTAGTCTCTCTCAAAATAGCTCATTGTACTGTATATACAGCATCAATATACTGGACAAAGGGATGGATCAGGGTGGTGCACGAGTTAGCTGAAAAAACTGCAGACCTCAGTGTAAATATTTTGTATGTACTCTAAGTGTTGACATTTAATTCAAATTTTTAAAACATAGCTGGATGCTGCTCCTAGGCCAAGACTTTGCAACTGCTGCTCTAGATCTTATGTAAGTTTGGAGCTCAAAATCCAGCCCAGTATTAAGTATTTAATAAAGAACATATCTATTTGCACCCTATCAGTTGTGCTTCATTTCTTCCTCAGAATTACTTCTTAGTTATAATTCTTTTATATTTTTCCTTGAAAAAGTGTGTGTCATTTCTGAATGAAAGCAGTTGAGAAAAAGAAAGATTGTTTTGATCTGCGTATGTCTAATGCTTTTTCCCTCCATGAAAGAGGCTTTCACAAAGAGGCCTAAAACTGAGAGCTAAGAAAATCTCCACTCCCAGAGATTGACTGAGCAGGATAGAGCTTGGTCCCTGCAGCATTTGGGGCCACAGAGATTTTGTTAAAAATCAAATGCCATTACCCATACCTCAGTGATTAAAATTCTTTAGAACTGAGTCTTAAAAGTCTTCAGTCAGTATTATACTTTGCATATATCCATGTATTATGCTGTTAAAATTGCTGAGAAATAGGCAGCAGGGAAACTAACCATCTAAGGAAATGACTTACTAGTGAGTTCATTATGTTAAAGAAGAGAATTTTGCTGTCTGGGTTTCTGGATAGCCTAGGTTTATAAAATAACATTAAAAAGTTTTTTATTTCTCTATCTCTTTCTCTTCTCAATACCTCCCACCCCCACTTTTTTTTAGGTTTTCAGAACAAAAATAGAGTTGCAATCCTGGCAGAACTGGACAAAGAGAAAAGAAAATTACTAATGCAGAACCAATCTTCAACAAATCACCCTGGAGCTAGGTATTGAAGACCATGTGGTTTTTATACTCAATGATAGAAAAAATATCTTGGACAAAATAACTCAAATCGGTTGACGATGGTTTGTTTTTTTAACATTGGAATTTATATATTATGTTTTGTTTCTTAGTTAGATTTGAAAAATTAGACTAGTTGATTAGGTTTTAAATATTTTCATTCTAATCAGAATATTTAATTTCCCCTACAACCTCTTTTTAAAAAGAAAAGGGTTTTGTATGTTTTCTGTTTGTTACTGAAATTATTTCCAGTGTCCCACTTTTTAAGCATTCTGCAAAACAGGTAAATTTAGGTAGCTTAATGATCTTTATTGTATAGTATTCAGTTTCTACCATCTTAAATCTCTTCCCTCAGATCTGTTAACCCATTCAGCCACTACCCTAACTTTCCATCTTTTTCAGCTAGACCTCTTAAAATTGAGTTGTCTATACTCACCTCTACTTTCTCACATTTTTACTCTTCAGCCCACTACAACCTGACTACCAGGCGTCCTCCTACCCTACCTTGAATAAGTTTGTGCCTAGGTCACTTGCAACCTCCTTTTGGCTAAATCTGGCAGACCAAAGTCCTTTTCTTGTTAGACATCTTAGCATTATTTGATAGCACTGATCACTTTCTCCTTTAAATACTCTCTTTCCTTGGTTTCCATTCACTCACTGTTATCCTATCTTGATTATTTTTATAGACATTTCTCCAGTGCCTATCTCTTGAATGTTGATATTCCTCAGAGTTCTGTTCCAGACCCAGTTTCCCAGTCTACATCTTTTCACTGGACACGCATCTACTTTCACCTATTAATTATGTGCCGACAACTTTTACACATTTGCACCTCTAGCCTAGTCCTCTCTCCCAAACACCAGACTGTCTCTTGGATATATCTCCACTTCGCTGTCCAGCAGACATTTCAAATTTAGTATGCCCCAAACTGAATCTATCTTCTCTTCCCTGTCTCTAAATAAGCACTTAATGTTCTTAAGTTTCCTTAATGAGTGGTACAGATCTACTAGTTATCAAAGTCAGAATTGCGAACTCTAATTCCATCTCCAAGCATTTATCATTCTGTTTACACTTAGTGATATGTCTCAAATCTGTCCATTTTTCTTCATTGCTACTGATGCTGCCCTGGTCCTGGCCACTGTCATTTCTTGCCTTAATTACTATAACTGCTTCCTCACTGCATTTCCTGTAGTCTTAAGTCTTCTCAAATACATTTATCAGTTGTGTCAATTAGGATGTTTTAATCTGGAAGTAATAGAAGACCAGCACAGTTGGCATGAATGTTAGGACATGTTAACCAGGAATGTGAAGATAAGGTGGTTCCAGAGCAGCTTAATGCAGCGGCACAACAGTGTCGGCAGCGATCCGGGTTCCTCATCTTTCCCTTCTGCCTTTCTCCTTGAGTCAGCAGCTTCCTGATGGTCAGAATATGTCTGCAATAGCCTAGGCCTCAGCTCTGCACCGAGCCATCTGTAGAGGTAAAAACCAGAAAGTTTCCTATTCTATGCCCCTTTTGTAAGAGTGAGGAAAAGGTTCTTAGAAGCCTTCCAGCAGACTACCCATTAAGTCTCTCTGTTCAGAATCGTGTTCCTTTCTCTTGCCTACACCAGAAACCAACAAGGGGAATGGCACTGTCTGACACCAAAGTTCACACCCTGAGGGAAAAGCCTAGCCCACCTTGAAGCATGGGACCACCAATAACTTAACTAAGTTTGGGTTCCATTAGCAAGGACGAAGAGAGAGAAACAGTTGTTGAGGTGACTAGCACTGTCTGCCATCGTGGTGGTCTTTCCGAACTGTCCTGTGGTACTTGTCATCATGTCATTCCTCTGCTTATGATTCTCTTTGCAAATCTCCTTTATTGCTCGGATAAGGTTCACATTTCTTAATTTATTTCACAAGGCTCTATATATCCTGGCACCTGCCTTCCTCCCCTGCCTCATTTTTTTTTTTTTTTTTTGCCAACTCCACCCTTTCCCAGCCCTGACCTCCAGTCCCGTTGAACTCTAATTTCTTCAAACATGTCAACCTTTTTCATCCTAAGCCTCTTCACCTGCTATACCTTCTGCTTGAAATATTCAGCTCTTCAGTTTTCATCATAAATGTAACCTTATGATAAACTGGAGTACGTCAAATCTGTTTGAAAGTAGGGGACCATAAATCATCAATAAAAAGGAGATAAAGTGAAGCCCCAGTAAATAACATAGGCTTTCTTTGTATATATTAATGTAGACAGTGGGAGAAGGAAAAAAGGCCTATTGTGGAAGGTCTTTTTTTATTTTAATTCCTATAAAGAATAGATAATGAAAAATGTGATTCAAAAGTAAGGAAGTCTGTACCTTGAACAGCCAGGTAACTAAGATTCTCATTTTAGCATTGCACTTTCGAGACCTTCTCTTAATAAGGACTTCCGGGATCATGCTGAGCAGCAGCATATCGCAGCCCAACAGAAGGCAGCTTTGCAGGTGAGCAAAGTGTAACTGACATTCTTGTCTCATTGGACATTTCCTAGGTCTTGGAAACCGGTACAGTTTCTATTTTGTATTTCAGTGGAGCAATATCAATAAAAATGTTCCACACATAATTGCAGTGGTTTGCCGATGTTCAGTCGTGCCCAAAGGATTTGAAGGACCAATACAGCAATAATGAAAGTCTCTTTTATGGTGTTGACGTGGCCATGATTGATACAGTGCTATACCTGGCAAGGGATTGCTTGTGCACAAAAGAGTTTTAAGATATTTGGATGGACAGAACGATCTTAAAAGCTGGACTGGCTAGTTTAATAGTACATACTTATTTTTTTTTTCAAATTCTATCCTTCGATAATCTTACTGGTTTGTTATTGTTGTGTGGATTCTTTTTTTAATGGCCGGCATGACTATTGTACAGGAAATGTTTCAAAACTAACTTCCTTCTATCACTGGTGGTTTTCTGTTACTTACATTCCAACATTCTCTACAAAATGTTGTTATCTTAATCACCACTAATCAGCTGCCTTTCCCCACCTCTCTTTCCAACCACTACCCTTCTTAAGCTCCTGCTTTGTTGATCAAAAGCAGGGTACTTTGGGTCCTTTGTTGCTAGTTTTCCCCCACTCCAAGGAACAAAGTACATAATTCGTGATTTCGACTCACTTGCTGACTGTAGAGAATCATAGCAGAGAGCGTGGGGTCGATAGATGAGTTCCTGGTGCAACTCGTTAATATAAATTCTTGATAATATAAATATCATTGTCCATCTCCTGTGTATTTAAACAAAATTAGCAGCACAAAAACTGATTTTTAAAATAAATTTGGTCTCAAGCACTCAGGAAGGATAACTGATTTAATGCTTTGGTTGAAGAATTGTGACTCTTAGTAGCTTAATTGCCTGTTTGTTTTTTAACCTCTTTCCCAGCATGCACATGCACATTCATCTGGATACTTCATAACTCAAGACTCTGCATTTGGGAATCTTATTCTTCCTGTTTTACCTCGCCTTGACCCAGAATGAAGAAAATATTTCTAATGAAATTGACTTTGTAATATCAAATGCCAAAGCTACTATCATTTAGTGCTATATAAGCTGTGACTTTCAGAATTTTGGTGAACTTTCATGTATTTTGCTTCTTCATAAGAAAGGTATGTGTAAGTGAAAGCAAAAAACAAAAAACAAAAAACGGGGAGGTCACCAGGATGATGAGAGCTTTGGAAGCTATATTATCTGAGGAACTGATTATGCTACCTGTGACTGTAACTTATTTGTAATGCAGTTTGATTTTAACGCGAAATCACGCTCTGAATTGGATGGTCACATAAACTCACTTCCCAGCCCCCAACTAGTTGGACTGAGTACATCATATCCACGATAGACTTTTAAGAACCATTTATAGTACTTACCTTTAAAGAACAAGGGTGCTTTTAAAAATGTGAACCAAAAGGCTTAAATAAGTTACATTCATATTGCTGTTTATAGAATTGATATCAGTGTACCTTTTGAGTTTATAGTCAAAATATCATCCTGAAATATTCTTTAAATCCTAGTTTCCCTATTCTCAATTTTAAAAGAAAGCCCAAGAGAAGACTAAGTTAACCAATCAGTCTTAAACATTGTTTATAAACCTATGCCACTATAAATTATGTGACTAAATGCTATTAAAAACAATTATAAGAAATGTGGTTTTAAATTTTGTACATGTTCTTATTCAGTGTTCTAGCATAAATGGTGTGCCTGCGTGATTTTATTGTCCATTTCTGTTTTAATTAAAACTATGCAAGTTAAGCCCCTTTTTAATGACTAAGGAGGAAGGAGTTAGGTTAAGCAGTGTGTCAACATGATACATTTTTAACAGAATCCAGGGTGCTTATTTAAATACACAGTCCCCACTACCTTGCCCTAGTCATACAGAATTAGAATCTCTAATTCAGAATAAAGTCTGACAACCATGGGTTGGAGAATTCAATTTTCATGATATATGTTTATAAATTTATAGATTTGTAGGCCCCTGAAACTTAAAGGTCATTTAACTAAAATCTACATCATTTTACTTTTAATAGGATTAAAATTATATTTTATATTATATCACAGATAACAGTATTTTATATAACACTTGTAACTGACCTCATTTTGGCCTTGAGTCCCCATCTTCTCTAATGGTAGAATGAAATTTAAACTTAAAATTCCAGTTTGGGTTCATATTTAATCAAATTCATCTCCTTTTTCAAAAAATGTCTTTTTCCTCCCTCCCTAGATATTTGCACCAACCCATCTTACCCAAACTAATTCAGTCAGGAGTAGACAATTCTAGACTTTGCTGTGCCATTTAGAGCTTTCTCTTGAGCATTTGAACTGGTGTTCTTCATCTGCATAAGTTGCTCAAGACGCCCGCCCTCCTGCTGCTAAGGACCTCCCCCGGCCTCTGGCTCCTGTCCGCCTCAGGTCTAGCCAGCTATTCCTCGGACCTCCTGATAGTGGCCCTCATTTTTTTGAATGAATTTGACTAAGTTTCTGTTCTTTGTACTCCATGACCTAAATCCATGGTTCTAAATCTATCTACTTGATGTTAGGGAGATAGAAAATGTGGATTGTAGTTTTTATACTATTAAAACCTCTGCTATATATGTGGCTTTTATAACCTAAATTAAAGAGATCTTTTTTCCAGTGGTATCTTTTCTAGTCTCTTAGCCTTTTAAATAGACGATGTTGCCTAAATCCTGCTGTTCTGGCTAGTAAGAACTTCCTCCCATCCTTCTCCTTTGAGTTACTTACAAATTCAATTCCATATGTATTTATTAATACCTACTGTGTAAAACACTGTGCTTTGGGGAGAAAGGTGAGTGATAACCTGCTCTTAAGGAGATCACAGTGAAGAGGAGCCAGGTACAGCAGTAATGATGAAGGGAGCCCAATGCAGTGAGTGGCACAGGAAAGGCATCCCGGAGCATGTAACAGCCTACAAAGGCCTAAAAGTATTGACATGATTTTTACCTGGCAAAGGAGAGGAAGAGCCGCTCCAGGCAGAGGCCAAGATTTCATAATCAAAGACTCTTTAGAACGTGAGTCCAAAGACTTGCGAGCACTACAGAGGATAATGGAAAACACAGAAGACTCACTCAAGCCCTGAGGTGAAGGCTCAGTATTGCTTCCCTCAGCTTGTGGATGAATTTGGCTAACTCGCTTAAACTCTCTTTACATGTCACTCCGTCCCATCTGTAACATAGGAACAGAACACACTGCCTACTTCCTAAATTGTCTAAACCAGTATTTTTCAAAATGCAAGTCTTAAGCCGTTACTGAATTGAGAAGCCAACATAATGGCTTAATGAAGTGTGACTAGCATTTTTTTAAAAAACAATACAAAAACATCAGGGCGGCATAGCGTGTAGTAATAGGTTTTATTTCATGAATCATCTGTTTCTGTGTGTTCGTGTGTGTGTGTTTTACTTAATTTGTTTATTGTATGTTCCACCAGTGTGTGAAGTCTCTGAAGACGAGGATGTTTGTTTCCCTCCTTCCCTCCCCCTTTGTTTACTACTGTACTCTGCTTAGAATAGTACTTGGCATATAGTAGATGGTCAGTACTTACTTATTGAAGGAATGAATGAATAAATATATATGACCTGAGTCATGATGGAGAGGGTATTTTTTTTTTTTTTTTTACTGTAAGTCATGGCAATAAAGTTTGGAAAGCCACTGCTAAATAATACAGATGATAGTGCTTTGTATGATTCTGGAATAAAAACTAAAATGACACAATAATTTCTAAAGCCGATATTTTTTTCCTGAACAATCTATAAGCTATCTCATTAAGTTCTCAGTTCTTTGCTTCACTTTGGCACTACAAACTCAGCCTTTATATGAGTTTAAGGCCCACTGAGGCAAGGGTTTGGGCAAATACGGTTACACAGACAGCCTTTATATGAGTTTAAGGCCCACTGAGGCAAGGGTTTGGGCAAATACGGTTACACAGGTCGATAGAACACCGATCGATTAGTGCAGTTCAACCCCACGACCAGAATCCCGTCAGCTAGCACAAGTCCCATTTCAACAGCATTAAGCTCAGCCAATATTTACTGAGTGCTTTTCTTATTCACCTCTGTGTGCACGGTGACTAGTACACTGTAGATGCTTTTTTTTATTATTTTTTTTAATGAGCAAGTGAGGAATGAACGTGGATGGAGGAAGAAAACTGTCCTCAAGAATCTGACAGTCTAGAGTGGACGAGACAAGCACACTAACAACAAATACTGGGTGCAGCTTAGTGAGGAGAGACTGAGTACATGAGCCTGGAAGGACCAGTAAAGGCCACATCAGAGAACAAGCATTTGAACTTGGCTTTCAAGATGAGAGGATCTCGGCCAGGAAAGTTAGGAGAGCGACACTAAAAGCAAAGGAAAAGCCTGCACAAAAGGGAGGAGAGCAGGTGTAGGGACCATTGTGCAGCACCCAAGTCCAATTTGTCTGGACTTGTATGGATTTGGGTGGATTTACATAGGACAGTCATTAGAAATGAGGCCAGAGGTAGGCTGGACTCATATTCTAAAGAGTCTTGAATTCTAGGGTGAGGTAAGTATCTTCAGCTGGGCACTCAGCTGGGAGTTACTGAACATTGTTGAGCATAGGCAGGTTTAGAGATGAACCAATTAGGCTCTCATCAGCTCTTGGGAAAGGGGAACTTGGGAGGCACAAGAAGAATATTACTCAATTTATGGAGAATTCAGGCAGGTATGTTCTGTTTGCATCGACATGTCAACTCCGGCCCCATCTACCTCTGCCATCTCTTTCATTTAGTTCTTGTACCCTTCCCTCATATTCCTCTTTCCTCACCTCCCTCCCTTATCTACCTTTCTTCTCTCCCGAGCTTTTGTTTATATCTACTTTCAAGAACCTTTTAAGAAAGAAAAAGCAAGGCACTGTCACGCAGTTTTTATTTGATCTTCACAACAGCTCAGTGAGGTAGTGGATATTCTTAGTAATCTACTCTGCATTAATTCTTCCTTTCCCCCTTCCTAACAACACTCGGGATTTTATGGGGCTCCTTCCCCAGTGCAGCAAGTGCTTCGAGAGAAGCTGACTGCCTAGCAGCAGCACTGAGTCTTCCATGTCCCACCCACACTGACCGGGGGAATTCCGTTTGCCACAGCCACTCAGCACATGGTATTTCGCAGACCACAGGAACTGGTTCAACATTGTACATATTACCCAAATTTAACCCAAATGAGACTCCAGGAGAGGGTTGCTGGGCTTATAGAAAAGATAATATTCTCACCTTTCTGAGAATGCTACCAAAAGGGGGACGTTCTAGATGTATAATGGAAGTATATCTATATCCAGATGCTCCTTGGGGTTATCTTCCAATAAATTCATCATAAATTGAAAACCTAAGTAGAAGATGAATTTAATACACCTAGCCTACCAAACATCACAGCCTGGCCTCGCCTACCTCAAATGTGCCCGGAACACAACATCCAAAATCCAGTGGCAACACAGTACACTGTAGAGTGTTGGCTCTTTACCCCTGTGATCGCATGCCTGACTGGGCGCTGCGCTCGCCACCGCCGTCCAGCTTCACGAGAGAGTGTTGTACCGCCTATCACTCTCCCGGGAAAAGATCAAAATTCAAAATCAAAGTACAGTTTTTAGTGAATGCGTATTGCTTTTGTACCATCATGAAGTCGAAAAATCATAGGTTGAACCATTGCATGTCAGGACCATCCGTATATATTTTATCCTGAGCATTATTGCTAGCCATCATGTGACTATGAGATGGGACCAGTCTTAGGATGAAACTACCCCCATCAAAGGTGCAGCAGAGAAATAAAAAGAACTGAGCTCTCGATGACATCGTTGTGCCGCCGAGTCATTCACTAAAGTGCTCCCCTTCCTCTGGAATTTCCAGTTATGGGAGGTAATAAGTCCTCACTGCTTAAGCCAGATTAAAGTAGGTTTTCTGTCACTTGCCGCCTAAATACCCTCATACAAGATGTGCTGACTAACCTCTTAGCCACACAGCTAGGTAGTAGGAAAGCAGAACTGAAGAACATCAGCCTCCCCTCATGACCACACTGCTGCCTCCACCACCACCTTATGCCACGCTTAACCGGCACCAAAGTCACCAAAGTCAATTGCCTATGTATTTTATTCCCTCACTCCCATTCCCTGTCGACCTTAACCCTCCCATGACATGTATTTTTCTGATGATCACCCTATTGTCATTGCTGGAATCCTTTGGTTCAATCACCAAAATATATCTATACACTCCAACTGTTCCTTGGTCCCTCCTTTCTTTTGAGGTCTACAGGTCCTTGTGCCTCGCGAAGCAGCTCAGGAGTCATATCCTGGCTGTAGGTTCAGCTAGTTTCTGGCATGCTCACCACTGCCACTCCAGAATATTGTTTTAGCTTCATTTTAAAATTCACTTCTTAAAAACACATGTCCCCACCTCCCTTAAAAAAAAGCCACACCACCTCAGTGCCATCATTGCCAAGTTCTGCGGTCATTCCTTCATATTCCTTAGGGACCTTGACTCCTACTTCACAGTCTTCATCTCCTCTGCATTACTCCTCTGCTGTTTTCCTGGGGATATCACCAGCCACCTTCGTATAAACTAATGTCCTAGTCTCCCAGGTCCTTCACATCCTCTGCTCCAAAGGCTGTCTTCTCCGTTCTAGTCACCATGCTCTGGCCATTCTCTGAACCTGGAATATCCCCTTCCTCCTCCCCAAGTTCTGCATTCTGTTCTGCATTCATTCTGCAGCCACATATTCTGAGATTTCACGTTGTCAATTACCTCCTTTTCCTCTCTCTCCACAGAATTGTGGTTTTTGCCTATCAGTGTGTACCCGCTTACAGACCTTCCAATGATCTTACATCTAGTTCAAGCCTGGACCAACTGTCCCTTCACCACCAGACTGTATGTGTTTCTATAGCACCTCCTACTGCCACATCTAACCACTGTACCTGCATTTGTGACCATATACTCTGCCTTTCTTGCTGTAATGGATGAATGGTTCCCATTCCTTTTGAAAGCTGATTTCTACATTTATCTTCCTTTGATGTATATCCCATTCCATTACTGCTTCATTTCTCTGCTTCCCTGTATCACATACTCCCCCAGAGTTGTATGTCTTTAATTTTCCTCCTTCCATTGTCTCTGGAACTCACCCTAGTCAAGCTTATGTCTCCGCCTATTTACTGAAATTACACTTGTAAAACCACCAGTCATCCCCACGTAGTCAAATCCAATGTCGTCATCCCTTGCTTCATCTGAGCTCTCAGCAGTGTGTCCCACAACTGATCACTTCCTCTTTCTTGAAATACTAGCTGCACTTGTCTCAGCAACACCACACTCTCCTGGTTTTCCTCCTAGCTTATTAGTAGTTAGTTCTTCTCAGTCTCATTTGCTGGTTTCTCTTTTCAAATGCAAAATGTCAGAATACCCTAGAGATCGGTTTTTCCTTTTTTTTTTCTATCTACAGTCATTTCCTGGGTAATCTCTATCCAGTACCATGGCTTTATGTACCGATTATCTTCTGATTACTTACAACCTTATATTGCCAACCCCTTTGTGGTGCCTAGTCTCCAAAAAATGGCTGCCATCAATTTTTCCCATCCTTGTAGACATATAACACTGTACCAAAAGCTGGAGTCTGTATCCCCTCCCCCTGCATATGTGCTGGCCTTGTGATGTGACAAATAGCATACAGAAGAGATGCTACATCAGTTTGGACCTATCCTTTAATAGGCCTGAAGGCTTCTGCTCTTGTCCTTTCTGGCGAAGCCGGCCATTAGGTAAGACACCTTACTCCCTGTGGCCACCATGCTGCGAGGAAGCCCAAGCTAACCACATGGAGAGGCCATATGGTGGCTCGCTGAGGGGCCAGACATGTGAGTGAAGCCACTTTGGCCTTTCCTGCTCAGCCCAGCCCCTAGCTAAATGTAGCCAAATGAGTGACCCCAACTGATGCCACAAAGAGCAGAACTGCCCAGGTAAGTGGAATTCCCACAGAATTGTAAGAAATAATAAATTATTGTTTTAAACCTCTAAGTTTTGAGGTAGTTTATTGTGCAGCAAAAGATAACTGAAAAAATAAAAAAATAAAAATAAAACAAAACCTTGATCTCCAAACTCCTATATCCCGTATCAACGTGACATCTCCACTCGGAAGTCTAACAGGCATCCATTTCTAACATACCCAAAATCAGACTCTTGATACCTCACCTTCCCAGCATGCTCTTCCCCCAGCATCCCCACAGCAGTACAAGGCCATCTGCACAGCTGTAAACATAGGAGTCATTTTAGACTCTTTTCTCACACTCCTCTTCCAATCGAGCAGTTCTAGCCTCAGAATATATCCAGAATCCCATGAATTCTTACCACTTCCATTGCTATCATTTTGTTCCAAGTTACCATCATTTACCTACTGCAATAGCCTAACTGGTCTTCCTCCTTGCGCATTTGTCTCATGCCCTCCATAATTGAGAATATTCAACACGGCAGCCAGAGTGATACTTGAAAAATGTAAGACCCAGGAAAAGATGCTCAGCATTACTAATCATTAGGGAAATTCAAATCAAAAACCGCAATGAGACCACATCCAGTAGGTGGCTATTATCAAAAAAAA